ATAATCTAGTAGCTAAAAGAATTTCAAAATTTCATTCCACTAATTCTTTTCCAATTTTGAATACTTTTCAACATGAAAATGACTTGATTGTTCTCCTTTCTTTATTCAGATAAATCTAGATAAATCTATATCTAAATCCAACTTATAGTAACAGGAAACGTTATTCCAAAAATTCTTATTAGTCGGAAAGGCAATGCAATAACGCATACATTCCACGCAGAAATATTTATTATTAAAGTGGTTACGAAAATTGATGTAATAAGTTAGGTATACAGTTTTGCTGTGAATATTTCCATTCCAATGCAAGACAAATAAATTTATCCTGTAGGTCCTGCATACCTCATGTAGTTAAAAAAACCAATACTTTGAAACCCGTCCGTTATAATTGCACTTGGTACTTTTAGTGTTAAACAAAAATAGCACAATTACAGGAAGTCAGTTTATACTTACTTTTTGTTAGTTATAAGCTCTGTAATAGTATTTTCAAGTTCATTTTTCTTAAGGGTTGTTATTTCCAAACGTTTTCCAATGCCCAGAGCTTCCATTCTGGCTACTTGAGAATCTTGATCGGCCAAAATCGCGAAACCAAGAACTGGCACCCCGTAGTGGACGGCCTCTTCGCTGCTCTGTAGGCCTCCTTGATAAATGAACAATTTAATGTTCGGGTGAGCTGCGGATTGGTATAATTCGTTAGACCTTTTATCATCGAGCAATAGTATCTACGATGTATACATATTTCGTAGAGAATAAAATCATACCGAGAATAGTTTGTTGTGGGAACCATTTTCCGATGTAAACATTATCAGGTTTCCCGGGAAAATTCTTCTCGAATTTCCAGACAACTCTGTAAGGCAACTTGGCGAACACATCGCACAGCACGCGTCGAATCTCCAGTGGTAAACTTGTACTTCTTGCGTTACTACCAAGGCTAAAGTAGATGAACCCATTTGTGGCGCCATCCAGAAATGTTTGTAAGTCCTGTGACAAAATAGAACATCCTGATGAAAGACGCGTCTGTGTAAAAGAGTAGATTGCACATTAAAAATAATAACTAAGAGGAAGTTAGTTCTATTACTATTCATGAGTTTTGTAATGCCGGTTTAGACAAATTTATAACTTAATTAACAGTTAAAAATCATCTATAATTAGAAGAGGTGGAACCCCGTATGCAATTTATCCAAGTTATCGTTCAGTCTCAAACTCCAATTTTGTTATCAGCCTTCCTATACCTTAAGATTCTACCACACATACAAGTGATAAAATTACATTTGTGCCAGATAAATCCGTATTTAATAAATAAATAAATCATAATAAATAAATAAATCAATTTATGTCATTGTATAAACCTCACCTTAGACAGGGGAGTCAGCTTCTTTTGTATGTGTGAGGATGTATATGTGATTATGTTCGGAAGTTTCGGCCGAGCCGCTACCATAACATCGGCCTGATTGATAAAAAGCAAGCTAACGTTCTTCAATACGTTTAGCATTGGTGGTAGAGGCCCAAAATATTTCTCGGCCAGTTTCTGTTGGTCAGGAATGAGCGCATGGTAGTAATAGTATATGGTATACCACATGTAGACGAAATTGCGCAGTCTCTTCAAGAACGATAGATTCGTACCCGTGTTGTCTTCCATTTCCCACGTGTACTCGTGGGAAGGGAGGACCAATCCACCAAGAGCGTGTTCGTTAAGGGTAATCAACTCTACTGAACTTAACCCTACGGTCATGCAAAATGTAACGATGGTTGAGCTTAATCTATTAATTTAATCAACGCTTATCTAAACATTTTCATAATGATTAAATTAAAAATTAATAAAGAGATGTTTATTTTAAATAGGATAATTTTAATTTTTTTCACTATTTGTAGAATATACGATTTGTTTGATTTTTAATTGAAACAGAATCACGTGTTAGAATATAGGAGATATATAAATAAAGAAATTATGTTATCCAAACTGTTACGAATCTGATTAATTTATTACACGCTAATTTATTTGCCGCAAAAAATAAATAAATCGCTAATAATAATGTAGTTTCCCCATTTAGATATCCTTTATTTTTTGCATGTAGTTTCATTTTCGTTAAAACTAAGTTGTATCATACATTTACGAGCACTAAAACTGACGTAATTGAAATAGATTCCTTTCCGCCATTAAATTTTGAGTTCATAATTAAAGAAATTTTTGGGTAAGGGCTAATACGGTTAACAAGTTCAAATGAGATTTTCTATAAACATGCAGCATGTACGGTGGAAGGCCGTCGCTTTCATAACAACACAACGTCTGAATTGCATTAAATAGCTATCAATATGTCCACCTCATTTATATGTATTCTTATCGAAATGCATCCAGTCAAGCACTTAACGACAAGCGCAAAACATCGATATTCCTCTTTATCACCTTGAGAATAACTAAAATGACTTACGTACGTATCTAATTATTTCAATTTTCCAAATTATTAATTCAAGTGGTTTCATTTTTTGCAATTAGCTCAATTGATTTAATTTTATACATTTATTTGTTTTATATATAATTATAAATATTGTATATGAAATTTTATGGTCCTGCACTTACGTCAAACATTCTCTCAGTTTTTCTATGGGTGTTATCGCTTTTATAAATTTTGTGGTTCCTTTCAGTATAACATTTTCTATTTTTCTAAATAGTATCTAACATTGGGTGGTTGACATTGGAAAGTATTGATGGTATTACCATTTGTTCCTAATTAACTCTTTATACATATAGTTAATGAAATTCACTTTCGTTCTTCATTTCAAGCTTCTATGTACCCAATACTTTCTCTTCCTTTTTCTAACAACTTCCTACTCATCGAGTAGGTCGCAATACTACTGTAGCCATTTCTTTTCTAGTAAATTTCGGTTCTTTTGTAAAATGGGTTACAGTTGCGAATAGATTGATTGAGTCCCGGTGTCGCTCTGGCGTTCAGCTCTCAGATGGACAACGCGTAATATTGCGGACGTGTGTTCGAGGTTTTAACTGTTTAGAGGTGTTTTTTCAACGTGTTCTATTACTAGATCCTTATGCCCTCGTAGAAAATCTATGTGCGTATATGCCAAGTCTAATTGAAATGGTAGCTGCATACAATGACGCCCGTAATCATTCGAATGATACTCGTTTTGTACTGTATTTTATTTCTATTATACTCTTAATGCACGTTTTTTTATTAAAGTTATTACCACGTAACCAAAACCAGTTCAGTCTCAATAAAGAATGTTCTAGGTACAACTTGCATGGTTTCGGAAACATAATTGGACGTGATTAATTCATTTGCACTAGCATGCTAGTGGACATATGAAGTCCGTTTGGTGCTATTTTTACATATGTCGATTCTTCTGAATATACTACGTCGCAAGATATTGGATTGTACGTGGTACGTGCTTCACCCTACAGATTCCTGATTTTCAAAACGAAACAAAAGTAACAAAGCTAATAAATATAAATATAATTGTTAAAGTCATACCTATTATAGGAACATTGAATCGATGTGCGAAAGCGTAAGTGGCGGGCACGAAAAGGAATTCCGTCAAATAGACATCGAACGTTGCGTTGCTCTCTGGAGCATATAGCTTCCGCAGTTCTGTAGAATTGAGCACCGTTTCCGCAATAACTTTGGTTACAGGCAACATTAATTCTTCCACAATATCCAGCCAACGTTTTCCCTCAAATCGCATTTGAACAAAATCTAAACTCCTTATGGATCCGTAAGATTGGCTAATATCGATTTGCGTAAAATTCGGTGATTTGATATTTGGTATAGGATCCGTCGTGGCTAGCACAACTTCGTGACCCCGTTTGTGTAGTTCTAGCCATAATCGTCTGAACGGTATTTGATGACTGTAGGATGGTGAGGGAACGATAGCTAGAATCTTGTAACATCCCGACTGCTTTGCGATGTACAAGACGCACAGAACGAATAACAGACTAGGCAGGTGGTGCTTCATACTCCTGTTGTCGAGACGAATTGAAGCAGGTCGCGGTTGTGGGTCTACTAAAAAGTTGGTCTCCAAGTTATCGTCATTTTGCATAATCTATGTAATGATGATACGATATCGGTATATGTTGTGATTTTAAAGTAGTACCCATTTTCCCTGAATTATCGTCTCATATTTCTAGTACTTTTAAATATTGCTACGTGTTATGACAATATATGTTTGGAGGATAAATACGTCATTTTGACGTCTATATCTTAATATATCATATCAAGGAGATCATATAGATGATAACAGAGATTGTCAGTTTACAGATTTGTATATTATATTTGTTTAGTATTATAGTATATTATATATTGTACGATATATTCATGAATATTTATCTATACTTCTTATGCTTAACTATACTTAACTATACTTTATCAATACTCGAAGATGGAAATTCCGCTAGGGGTAGCCATCCACATACCATTTTACAATTTATTAGAAGAATTTAACAAATGCCCAGGTAGACAAATTGTGAAGTATAAATTAAATAATAATAAAAAAAGTTTATCAATGTGTTTTATGAATAGGGTACAAAGATATCATGTGAATACAAGTCGTTCGAAGATTTGCTAAATACTTGTAACAATACTACGAAATTCTTTTCAGGTAGATATCTTTTGTTACTATAAGAGAAATTGTTCGAAATACCAGGCCAGAGAGATATAACATCAAAGATTATTTGTCATCTGAACGGCAAATTCACATGCATTTGCCATTAAAAAAAGGTGCTTGACAAATATCATTTCTCACTAAATGAAAAGTCTGATCAGCATAATTCTAAGGTTAAGTAGCCTGATTATTTGGTAGGAAGTAGCTCTTTAGCTACTATAATAATTAGATCGTAGGGTAAATTATGGCAAGAATCACTTGCTGGTATAAAAATTATCATATTTATTAGAAATGCATAATAATTGTTAAAATTTCATATATAATAAAACGTGCAGGACATTTGTGCGTAACAGAAATGTTTGCTATAAAATGTGCTCAATATAAAGATGTACTATAATATAAAGAATCTATTTCGAATAACTACATGACGCATTCGGTTTTTATGTATATCGATATTTTGATACACCATACTTTGACATATCCATGGCTTCGATGTAATTTCTCCCTGCGCTGCCTCATTCACCAAGCGAAAAGCAATCTTATCATCCATTGATAATAATATAGAATAAGCTTGACGCTTCCCCAAAAAATCTCAATCAGGACATCAACAATGTATAAATGGGATTTCAATGTTAATTGAACTTTTTTTATATTTGTATTTTTGACCATTCGCGGAGAGACGCAATCGCGAGGAAACACGTTATTGGGAGTCGTAAGTTCCCGTTACGATTATAATAACCAACACCACGAGTTGATCGATACCGTGATTTCCATTAAAATAATAGAGATGGTTGAGATAGTATAACGCTGCGATAAACAGGGTTATAAGCTTTATTTTCCAACACTTATGAGGTACACTGTTGTGTATGTATACGTTATGTAAATGATTGATTTAAGGAGAGTAACCCGTTAATGACTTGTTGACTATTCTAACGTTGTAGAATAAGTAAGGTACAGTGACGATGCTGTGTCGGAGAAAAGCTAGCGATAGGTGTGTCTAGCGTACGGGACCATCGGATCGGTTCATGACATTTTTGGTCAGGAAGTGAGGGCAGTATACATTGCTTCTGATTGGACAAACGAAGGTTGGTGAACTAGGAAGGGGCTTAGCCGCCCTCGATTGAAAGTTGCTAGTGGGAAGCATCGTACGTGAGAAAAACTAACTTTCCCGTGTCAAGCTGTAGTATACAATAATCTACAGAAAATGATTTAGAAACAAAGATATTTGTTCGGTCTGAAGGACCTTAGCTAGCAAATTACTGGGATTATGATGATGGGTCCTTAAGACTATTGAGGGTACACACTAAGAATGACCGAACATCTAGCACCCGTCTGGCCCGCGGTATATGGCCTTGTTTAGGTAGAGTGTCGCTCGACGTAACAATATTTGAAAGTCTTTTCGAGCCAGAATCGTTAGTCTTGTGACCAGTAACTCGCCAATTATAAAACGCAGGATGATCATTTCCTTAACGAAACTAGATAAAATTCATCTGTTGAAATGAGATGATAAATGCTTGCGTCACTTGGACTGAATTGTGCTATAAGTACTTCTCTTCAATCAATTGCGTCATAAATACTTAGTTTATCTTTTGCTTTTCAGTCGATTTGATTTTCTTATGAATGTAGACGAGAATCTTGGCAATTAAATAAAAGGTAGCAGAAGCGATCAAGAAAATTACGATCGTTAAGAACACTACAATATCCATATCGCAACGTTGATACCAAGGCTGAAAAGCTAGACTACTGCGAAGATGAGGGGCGCCTTTCGTTCGTATCACGTACTCTGTCCACCAAGCGAGATTCTCTACCCGATCGTACGGTGTATCCTGAATGACATTTCGGATGTAAAGTATCCTTTCTTTGTACCTGAAAGCAAGCATAATAAATTCAACCAAAAATCACATCACATAGTACATTATCATCGGCCAATATCATAGAAAGATTTACTAGAATAATCTAGTAGCTAAAAGAATTTCAAAATTTCATTCCACTAATTCTTTTCCAATTTTGAATACTTTTCAACATGAAAATGACTTGATTGTTCTCCTTTCTGTATTCGGATAAATCTACAATTTCGACTACCTTATAGTAATAATACTTTAGAACACAGAAAACGTTATTTCAAAAATTCTTATTAGTCGGAACGGCAGTTGAGTAACGCATAAATACCATGCAGAAATAATTATCATTAAAGTGGTTACGAAAATCGATGTAATAAGTTAGGCATACAGTATTTCTGTGTATATTTACATTTCAATAGAAGACAAATTAATTTTTCCCGTAGGATCCGGATGCCTCGTGTGATCAAAATACCCAATATTCTGAAGCCCAACCATTATAATTGCAGACTTGGTACTTTTAGTGTTAAACAAAAATAGCACAATTATAGCAAAAAAGTCGGATTATACTTACTTTTTGTTAGTTATAAGCTCTGTAATAGCATTTTCAAGTTCATCTTTCTTAAGGGTTGTAATTTCCAAATATTTTCCAATGCCCAGAGCTTCCATTCTGGCTACTTGATAATCTTGATCGGCGAAAATAGCGAAACCAAGAACTGGTACTCCGTAGTGGACGGTCTCTTCGCTGCTCTGCAGGCCTCCTTGATAAATGAACAGCTTAATGTTCGGATGAGCTGCGGATTGGTATGATTCGTTAGACCTTTTATCATCGACGAATAGTATCTACGATGTATATATATTTCGTACAGAATAAAATCATACCGAGAATAGTTTGTTGTGGGAACCATTTTCCAATGTAAACATTATCAGGGTTCCCGGGAAAGTTCTCCTCGAATTTCCAGACAACTCTGTAAGGCAACTTGGCGAACACATCGCAGAACACCCGTCGGATCTCCAGTGGTAAACTTGCACTTCTTGCGTTACTACCAAGGCTAAAGTAGATGAACCCATTTGTGGCGCCATCCAGAAATGCTTGTAAGTCCTATGACAAAAAAAAAACATCCTCATCGAAAGACACGTGTGTGTAAAAATTGCGTTACGTTAAAGGCATTAACGAAAAAGAAATTAGTGATATTTTTATTTAGGGCCTCTGTAATGCCTATTTAGCAAAATTTAGAACTTAATTAACAGTTAAAAATCATCGATGATTGTAGAAGAGGTGGCACCAAATATGCAATTTACCCAAGTTATCGTTCAGTCTCAAACTACAATTTTGCCTTCCCATACCTTATGATTCTACTACACATACAAGTGATAAAATTATATTTATACCAGATAAAGCCGTATTTAATAAATAAATGAATCATTGTATGTCATTGTATAAACCTCACCTTATGCAGGGGAGTCAGCTTCTTTTCTATGTGGGATGATGTATATGTGATTATGTTTGGAAGTTTCGGCCGAGCCGCTATCATAACATCGGCCTGATTGATGAAAAGCAAGCTAACGTTCTTCAATACGTCTAGCATTGGTGGTAGAGGCCCAAAATATTCCTCGGCCAGTTTCTGTTGGTTAGGAATGAGCACATGGTAGTAGTGGTAAATGTTATACCACATGTTGACGAAATTGCGCAGTCTCTTCAAGAACGGTAGATTCGTACCCGTGTTGTCTTCCAGTTCCCACGTGTACTCGTGAGAAGGGAGGACCAATCCACCAAGAGCGTGTTCGTTAAAGGCAATCAACCCTACTGAACTTAACCCTACGGTCATGCAAAATGTAACGATGGTTGATCTTAATGTATGCTTATCTAATGCTTTCTAATGCTTATCTAAACATTTCCATAATGATTAAATTAAAAATTAATAAAGAGATGTATATTTTAAGTAGGATAATTTTAATTTTTTTAACTATGTATAGAATATATGATTTGTTTGACTTTTAATTGAAACAGAATCACGTGTTAGAATATAGGAGATATATAAATAAAGAAATTATGCTATTCAAACTGTTACGGATCTGATTGATTTATTGCACGCTAATTTGTTTCCTGCGAAAAATAAATAATTCGCTAATAATAGTTTCATTTTCGTTAAAACTAAGTTGTATCATACATTTACAAGCACTAAAACTGACGTAATTGAAATAGATTCCCTTTCACCATTAAATTTTGAGTTCATAATTAAAGAAATTTTTGGGTAAGGGCTAATACGGTTAACAAGTTCGTATGAGATTTTCCATAAACATGAAGCGTGCACGGTGGAAGGCCATCGCCATCGTGACAACACAACGTCTGAATTGCATTAAATAGCCATCAATATGTCCACCTCATTTATATGTATTCTTATCGAAATGCATCCAGTCAAGCACTTAACGACAGGCGCACAACATCGATATTCCTCCTTATCACCTTGAGAATAACTAAAATGACTTACGTACGTATCTAATTA